CCTGAGAGACACCGTAGCAACTCCTTTGCGGTTGGAAGCAGCGGGTGGGGGTGGGGGGAGGACCAGGGAGGATGATTCAACCACTCAACCACTAGATGTCGCTGAAAACAACAAATCCTACACACTGTGCCTTTAAGAGAATACGAATCTTCTCAAATGTATCCCAAATACAGTATAAAACATAAGGTTGACTAAACCCTCCAATTAAAACACAGAGTATCATTCATTAAAGTTTGTTTTGACCAGGTCACAGTGACAGAGGTGTTTTCTGAGCACTGGCTGATACAGTCATACAAAAATAAGCGCGGTGTTGATTCGCTTTCTGCGTCTGTTTGTATTTGCACACCTTCCAAAAGAGAATGCAAATGCAGTAGTTGTGCACCAAATCATCAGGGTTTCACTGAGGTTTTGACTCAAACACACACCTGTTTTTAAAGCTACAAATTGCAATAATTTAAAATCTTTTGAGCCGTTCTGTCTAGAAAGGTAGTAATGATAGGAAAATATCTCAAAAGGGTCATGAATTTGATGGTAATGCTCTCCAAAACKGATTTTTTTGTGACGTTGTTGCAGCTTTATCAATTTAAAAAGTGGGTTTAAAGCTAAAAAAAAGCTAATTTCCCAAACTGCCAAACTCATCTCCAATAACAGCATCAAACTATGTTAGCAGGTAAACCCGCACAGTAGTCTGAAGTAACAAATGATTCAAGTGATGGCAAGCAATAAAACTTATTACGAATAAAAAAATAATAAAAATTAATAATGCTAATCACAGAAAGCACAGCTCAGTACAGAAAAAAAATTCTGCTTTGTGTCATGCTTTATCAAACAAAGGTTTAAAATACACATCTTTGAGAATATTCATGCGTATCCACACATAATGTCTATGCATAGATACACACATATATGCATTTATACATTTATTTTTTTAAATCTATTTAATCAAAATCTTGTAAACGATTGTTGGAGCATTTACAAAGAGGTGGTCATAAACAGGATGCCTTCGGKTCTAGCAGCATGATGGGAGAACGGAACGCTCTGTGAAAGGAGTCCACCGAGGCATCAGCGGGACCTTCACTGATGGATGTACGAGTCTCGAGCCCACTCACCTGCCTCACCCCTCTTTTTGGGAGCCACCTCCCCCTCTCGGTCCCTTTCTCTGTCCCGTTCGTGGTGGTGGTGGTGGTCCCGCGGGGGTCGGTGGTGGTGGTGGGAGCGCTGCTTGTTGCGTTCGTTGTGGTCCTGCTCGCGCTCCTTGCAGCGGTGGTGTCCCGTGCCGTGGCCCGCCTCGTCCCTGCCGCGGTGATGGTGGTGGTGGTGGTGATGGTGGTTGTGGTCCCGGTCGGGCAGTGGCTCGTAACGCTGTTGCTGCTGGGGGTGCCGCTCCCCTAGATCCTCTTCCTCCTCCTCCTCCTCCTCCTCCTCTTCGTCGTCTTCTTCGTCCTGGTGACGGAGTGTGGCGCGCTGCTCGTTCTGAGCGGAGTCCTTGCTCTCTCGGCTCTCGGGCGTCTCGGAGTCCAAAGTCTCCTGCCGAGACAGGCCCCTGGCTCTGTTGCTGTGGTGGTGGTGGTGATGGTGGTTGTGGTGTTCAGTCCTAGTGGAAGATGACCTGTGGTGCGTGTGCTGGCCTCTTTTAGACGATTCTGTTCTCAGGGGCCTCTCGTCCTCRTTGTCGTCTCCCTCAGCTTCTCCTGGAGACTGGTCCAGGCTCTTCTGGCGGTGGTGATGGTGGTGGTGGTGATGCTGGCTATCTTCTTTGGAGCCCTTCCTCTCCACTAACGCTTTCTCTCCTCTCTGCTCCGTGCCGTTACCCTGAAAATCGGGGACACAGATAAGTCAGGAGGTTGACACAAACCGTGACGTCACGAATCCTCACCGCAAAGCTCACACAGAAATACTCACCTGACCCTGCAGCACAGATTTACTCACACTCACACACAACTTGACAGCATGAATTCCCACAGCAGARCACTCGTATTTGTTTGTCAGATCCAGTCTAGAAGGAACGTCCACCTATTCCACACAGCAGCCCCAAACTTACCACACCAGCAAATGCAACTTTAGTCCTGCTCCTCATCAGTACCAGCTTTGTCCTCATTTTCAGGCTTACGTTTCCCAATATGATGGCAGTGGGTGGAGAGAGAGTACAGGTGAAGACTTTACAAACTACTCTGGTTAACAAAGACTGAGCTGGCTGTTTTAAATATCTTGACTCTCAAGTTATTCCTTATTYATTTTGCTTACAAAGTGCCACACTCGTAATTTTTTTATTTGTCTTGAGCAACAGTTTATCCGACTTTCAGAAGGTTTTTCTAAAGAAATCATTGAACATTGTCTACTTTTTCCTCTTATATTCAGTTCAGCACTTAACACWTTTTAAATTTTTGTTAAGTCGTTCATCAGTTCATGCATCCTTCAAGTCCTTTGCCAGGTCTTCGTAGGATTTCTCCTGCATTCTTACATGTGTGACTTTCAGTTATTTTTTACCCACTGAAAATTATGTAATTTTTTTAAATCTCTGAAACTTTTTCTTTTGTCTTCAACCTGTCCATTTTTTATATCTGAAAACACACACTGCATTTGACCATGACAACACTGCATTTTGATGTCACAGTCAAGTAGAAGGATRGGCCTGACAATAAGCAGACAGAAAGACCTTCAGAAAGCTTCAGAACTTCTGATCAAGASCATTAAAAAGTGAAACTGTGTGAAAGTAAGCAATAATTCAAAACGTTTGCACATACAGTATGAGAAAAATAGTGCTGGCTAGTTAATTTTTTTCAGCAAAAACTAAAAGCTGCTTAATCGTTTAAAAAAATAGACAAAGCAAACTTTCAGTTTTCTTTTATCTGCCTTTTTTTCCCCACTAACCTCACAAGTTTTCTGTTATCTGTTGCACATTTACATTTTAAACACCAATTGTGTTGTTCCCTTCTGATGTTATTATTGTATTGTTCCCTGCTGATGTTATTATCTCTTTGGCCTCCTTTTTATTCCAAGTGTGGTAATTTTTTATCCTTTATGTCTTATTACTTTGTGTCCTTTAAGTGCTTATTCTTTTTCGTGTGGTTGTCTCCAGGCATTCAGAGTGGTCGGCAAAGTAAGAATTTCATTGCTCAGGAAAACATGTTTCCATCTATGTATATGACAATAAACACTTTGAATCTTGAAAAATCAAAAAGAAAAAAATAAGTAGGGCCTCTGGATGGTTCTTCTTTAGTGAAATGTTTCGTCTCTCCTCCAAGAGACTTCTTCAGTCTGATGAGTTTCAGGTGAACTCAGCTTTATAAGCACTGCCTCCACATGGTGGACAAACAGGTTAGTCACATGCAAAAGAGGGCCATCGCTTAACAATAGGCTTGATTAGCTCTATTGTTCATAGAGGGTCATGTGCCCCATCACCTGACTTATAGGTTTGGATGCTGTGGTTCTTAGGTGTATTGTCATATATATGTAGTGAGCACAGGCGGGGCTCAACGCCCCCTTGTTTTTGTTTTTTCCCTCTTTGTGTTGGTTATCGTTGGGGCCCTGATTCACACCTTTTGCTCACAGGGGGCTGAGTCCTACTTAACAGCATTGTAGGAGGCGGACAACTGAACACGCGGGCCTCCACCTCTGTTTAATGGTGGATGTGTTTTTCTTCACAAAGATGGGTTCCTTTACTCCTCTCTCAAATCAACGTTCCTCTCTATCAAGGATGATAACTTCTTCATCCCTGAAAGAGTGACCGCTGGCCTGTCGATGAGTGTAAACTGCAGAGTCCTGACCTGACGAAGTAGCTCATCATAGCTGTCCAAAAGAATGAGCCAGCACAGACGAGCTACATACACATGACACAACACCTAAGAACCACAGCATCCAAACCAATAAGTCAGGTGATGGGGCACATGACCCTCTATGAACAATAGAGCTAATCAAGCCTATTGTTAAGCGATGGCCCTCTTTTGCATGTGACTAACCTGCTTTTCCACCATGTGGAGGC